TCTCTCTCTCTCTCTCTCTCTCTCTCTCTCTCTCTCTCTCTCTCTCTCCAGCGCGGCTTGTCATCGCTATGGTTACCGCGCTAACACAATGAAGCAGACGGTCGCTCTCCCTCCGTTCTCACGCTATACACGAAATAATGACATCCGCCAGGAGAGACGGGACACGGTGCGCTCCTGCCGCGCAACCACGCACGCACGCACACACACACACGCACGCACACACACGCACGCACGCCTGCACGCACACACACGCACGCACGCACGCCTGCACGCACACACACGCACGTACGCCTGCACGCGCGCACACACGCACACACACACGCCTGCACGCGCGCACGTACACACGCACAGCTGCACGCAAGCCTGCACGCGCGGCACACACGCACACACACGCACACACACGCAAGCCTGCACGCGCGGACGTACACACGCACAGCTGCATGCACACACGCACAGCTGCACGCACACACACGCACACGCACGCACGCACGTACGCACGCGTGCACGCACGCGGGTTGTGTTTTGGGAAGGTGATCACCATTGATATTAAACGTAATGTATCTACATTTCTCTGGGCGGGGGACGACAACCGCCCCCCCCCCCTCCCACCTTCCCCTCCGCTAGTTACGGATATATATATATATATATATATCGCCGCGCCGTTAACTCCTCGCCCGTTTTACCTCTCTCAGCAAACACCCCGTTCAACGCACCGGTCGCGGCGCTTCGCTCACGGCTGGCGACAGCAGCGCCCCTCGCGGCGGGTAGGTGGAGAGCGGTCCGGTGGCAGCAGACCTCGGTCGGGTCCCAGGCGACGACGACGACGACGAGGCAATTTTCCGGACCAGCAAAGCAGAGCATCGGCCGAGTGTAATGATAGGTACTGCTGCGATGAGTAATCAGAAAGGTCGCCAGAGGTCACGAAAACACACGTATGTAGAATTCAATGGCCGCGTGAGAGCGAGTCGGGCAGACGGCGGCTGCTTGCTTCAGTGGCTCCCTGCGAGTAATGGTTATATATTCCCGTTTCGTTACCGAAAAAATAAATAAAATATGCCCAACCATATGCTATCGCCTCTCTGCAATAAGCATGTTTTGTCAATGACGGATAACACGGATTCCATATTGAAAACGCCTCACGTCTGAATGCACGCATGTGAACAATATTGTGTGTTTGAAGCGGATATAGGGGATTTGAACGAGACCGTAATTAAAATCGTCATGAAATATTATTTTTTTTAAATAGCGGGTTAGTCTAGACCGTAGATATCATATAACAACATGTTATATGATATCTATGGTCTAGACATGTCCATATTGAGACCAGTCAGTTGTTTTTGCACTGAGTAGGGGAATTGAAGCGTGGCTGGGTGATAGCATAGACTCACAATATCATAGTATCATATTATATATTATTATTTATTTATTATTTATTGAATGTTGATTATATTATTAGTAATCTATGCGAGTACACGAGTGATCCACTTGCACGGCCGCCAATGAGAAATCATTTCCAGCCGTGTTGTTGTTGCCAGCACCAGCGCACCACTACGCGCACGCCATCTATGGTGTTTACATTCGTAAAGCGTGCGAAGCACCATACAAAATTTAATATAGAATACATTCTATATCTATATTCTCCTGTATTCTATATTCTATATATATGGAATCACTTTTTGCGTAACTCTTGTGGTTTCCCACAGAGTGCGAATAATATAGGCAGCTACTAGCTACACGAGATAGAGTGTAACTAAGAGTAAGAGAGTAAGAGTACCATAAGTGATTTGTAGCCGTTCTGGGTTGACCTAGTTAGTAGTTATTCATGCTCTCGCCTAGTTAGGCTAGTAGTAGTAGTCGTATCATGAGTCTGACATAGTCCTACTACTACTAGTAACTAGTACTAGTACTACTACCTCAGCTCAGGCTCAGTAATTGCTGTGTAACCAAGTCTGAGCACTACCTCATATACTCATAGTGGCAGTGGTAGTGACCTGCTCATATATTTAAGACCTGCATGCTAACTATACTGGCGTAGTGACAACCAAGTTTGAAGTCAAGATGCACCCTCAGCCGCATCGCATTGCTGTCGTGATATTTGGCCGTTATCCTCAGCCAGGTCGCAGTAAAACCCGACTGACGCCCCTATTGGGAGAGGCCGGTGCTGCTAAAGCTCAGCTAGTGATGGTATGTTACTATAGCTCAAGGGGTCGTTGTCGTAACAGGTACTACAGATATGTACCCGAGGTACATATATGTATACACAAAGTGTACCAGACTTGTCCTACAGAAGTGTACCCTAACCCTAACATTAACCCTAATCCTAACCCTAACCCTAACTCTAACCCTAACCCTAACCCTAACCCTAAACATACCTCATATAAAAATATAAACATAATACTAAACAACCTAAAACTACCTCGGGTACATATCTGTAGTACCTGTTACGACAACGACCCTTCGTGCGTTAATATACGTTATGATGCTACGTGTTACGAGCGGAGTATAGTCACAGGGCTGCCAACTCTCACGCATTGACCGTGAGACTCACGCATTTTGACCAAATCTCACGCTCTCACGCTGATCTTACAATATCTCACGCACAGCAAAAAAATGCTGAGATCTCTCACGCATGAATATCTCTTCACGAATAAAACGCTGAAATATATCTCACGCACAGCAAAAAAAATCTTACAATATCTGAAAACAGTCACTTTAGTATGCACCAAATTGCACAAATTGAAGTTATAAAATGCAAAAGCTCCCTACCCACGACCACCCCTCCCCCTCGGTCGCTTCGCTCCCTTGCATCTCACTCTCACCTATCACCCAATGTTGGCAGCCCTGTAGTCATGTTAGTTCATAGTTGGCGGGTACACATATTGTTCGTTCGGTGTACATGAGTCATAAGTTTATAGCTGCTAGCGCTAGCTATATAAATTACTATATTAGATAGCTAAGCTATGAAGCCGTTCATGCTGGTTGTGGGCTGATAGGGTCTATAACCCCCAGGGTATACTATCGAAGGGTACCCTGGGTACAGTTTGATATATCGGAAAGTACCTCAGTGTACTATACGATATGTCACTGCGTACCCTGCATTGTCCCACCGTACCCTGGGTACCCTGTATGTATTTCCGATGTTGTAAAACTAAAATATAAAAGCTGTAGCTCTTCGTTTAAAAAAAAACGGAAAAAGACAAATATAGTCAAACATAGCATACATTTTTCAGAGTGGCTATATGCCCGGCAGCCGGCATATATCTGACAGCTGCCGGGCATGCTTTTCGATTATCCTAAATGCCAGGCAGTTTTTAATTTTCTGCGTTATCTCAAGTAAACAAGGGTTAGGGTTAGGAACTGCCGGGCATTTAGGAAATCGAATACCGTGCCCGGCTGCCAGGCATATAGCTACAGCGTACATTTTTATTGGATTGTGAAGTTTTGAGGTTTCTTCTATGTGATTTGGTAACTTGACAGAGTGTATGTATTACGACATGAGTTGGCTGAAAGTCAGGGTACGGTGGGACAATGCAGGGTACTCAGCGACATATCGTATAGTACCCCGAGGTATACTTTCCCATATATCGAACTGTACCCAGGGTATACCCTCCGATAGTACCCTGGGGGACATAGACCTAGCTATCAGCTGGTCGTGGAGCAAAGTGCCATACGGTGATATACATAGGTAGAGATTAGTAATTTTAAAATAGAGATCGACGAGGTACGAAGTATGCAAGTGTAGAAAGAATATACATTTTTGTGTGTACATATGTAATATATTCATCTCATTTTTAATAACAGCAACAATAATAATAATAATGATAATATTGATATTGATTGGAATGGCCAACTGTATTTTCTGTGGTTTATTGATATGTAATTATTTGTTTATCACTGTTGATTTTTCAGACTAACCAGTTGCTAGAGAAACTTCTCCCAATGCAGACCCAGGCGAAGCCTATGGAAGGATACCAATGCGAGTTTGCAGTAGAAATGCATTACTCGTCTGGCAGCAGAAAAGGCATGGCCAACTGGCTTGCGGCTTATAAACATCGGTATCCGGGTGAGTGAAATCGCAATAGTGTTGCTGATAATGCTACCATGACTAGAAATACGTGCAGATGGACTTTGCACATAGGTACGCTGTAAAGCAGCCAAATGCTGAAATGAACTGTGACATTTTGTGGTGTAGTACAGACCAGGGAAAAAATAACATTTATTTTTCGGGGGCTACTTTTCAAGCTCGCGTGCATGAAAATAGCACTCTAAAATTTGGTTTACATTGAACTCTATGCAAATTTACGGGGGCTCTTTTTGGCATTTCGGTGGCTAAATCGCCCCGAGCCCCCGTGTATTTTTTTCACTGGTACAGACTGTACTTCTGCACTAGAGCTAATTAATGTCAGAATTCATATAATCGGCCATACAGGTACATGTGGCTAGGTCTAAATTCAAGGACCAGGTCAGGAAAAACATCCCTTCATGTGCCATCACACTGTAAGTTGGTGCTTTCCTTATTTTTATGTGCTTGTGATATATGCATTCTAAAACAATGAACACATTTTTATCTGGTTTACTCGCAGGTTTTTCATGGAGAGTGCAGGAGGGGAGTGACTTGGGTGACAGGATGCAGAAATCATTCTGGACTATGTTCAAGCATGGGTTCACAATTGTGATAATAGTGAGTCGCAGTAAATAACCTGATGGGGGTTGTGGTGGGGGTTTCACACTCATATAGCACTGCACTACATACTCATATAGCAGCACACCCTCTTTAGAAACGTTTTTCTCTTGTAATGTAACGCCTTAAATTGACGAATGCCTGCATCTATTGTGAGTTCCATTGCCATCTAGTTTTATTATTGAGCGAGCAGCGCAATCTATGTATCACTTGCAATGGCGAACACAATCTGGTTTTGTTCTATTGACGTTGATAGCAACCCTATTGCTCTGGTTGCTTGCACGTGCAACACAAGATCCTAAATTTATGTTTTTCACTTCTGCGATAGATTGGCAGTGACATTCCAGGGCTCAATCTCATTCATATCAACGATGCCGTCGAGAAATTATTGCCAGGAAACACGAATATGGTTGTTGGGCCGGCAAAAGATGGCGGATACTACTTAGTGGGCTTGCACAGATCTGCCATCCCTCAGCTAGGTACTGTCATTATATTTGTACATTTATTATAGTTATTACAACAAATAAATGAAATTTGTCCCTTAATTGTTAATGGAAGGTAGCGACTAACAACAAGTCAGTGTCGACACCTATGTGTGCTGGAAAAACAACAAGTCTCTAATGCTCTACCTGACATTTGAGTATGATCTGTTATCATTCTGTTATTATGTTATAATATTTGCCACGAAAATTTACGTGGTCACAAATAACTGCTGCTATGCAAACTGTTAATTTGGATCTTTGTAGTGTTATAATTGGCTTTTTTGCAGATTCGGCATTTAAAGGCATTGACTGGGGCTCAGAATACGTATACAATCAGCAGATGCAGTTGGCTCGCTCCGTTGGATTAAAAGTGAAACCGTTGACAACAGTGTTAGAAGATGTGGTAAGAGGGATAAAATGGAGAGACTAATTTTGTTCTTGTAGCAATATACCTTTTAAAAAGGGATATATGAATTCGACTTTTATGAAAAATGTAAATATTTGCCTTTTGAAAAATTGAAAACTAATACTGTAACTAACTGTAGAAATACATTCAACGTGATAATTAAAATGTTCGTTTATCACCCTAGCAAATCAATCTCGGAATTTTCAAATGTCTCAAGGTTTTGGGTCGAAATTCCTGATACAGGGGGAATGATGACAAGATAACTACAATAATGCATGAAATTCCTCACCTCCATCTGTGATCATTAACGTTTTTGTCGGTTGGCTCGCCTCTGTATTGCCAGGCTAACTAACTTTTGTTTGTGGGTAGGATGTGCCGTCAGACATGGCAGTGTTTGAGCGATACACCCATGTTAGTCCAAAGCAGCTCGTCAGCCCTACGTGGACGATAGTTGTACCCATGCGAAATGAAGTTCATCACGTCAAAGCTGTCGTGCAAAACGTCGTGAAGGTAGAGGAATTGAAGTAGCATCGCAACATTCTTTACATAAATTATAATATTCTGAAATAGACCTCATGAACATTCTTTAATTGCATGTTAAAGTGGATAAACCTCGTAGCTAGATGCATATATATACCTACTGTGAGATCGCCTATGTTGAAAAAATTAACTACAACTTATTTGTATTGCTACTTTCAAAACATTCCTTCATAAAATCTAAACGAAAGTTACGAAAGTAGCACCACAGGATGTTTACAGTGTTTACACATGTCGGTCCACAGCCGAGCGAACGTTGTGCTGCATTAACAGTTCTTTTCTGTGATAACACATGTTATACTTTATTGTTCGATGTTTACTCAGAACGAAATTGTGAAATTTGTTTAAATCACATGTTATCTACATTACATATGCAATCACGAAACAAATATAGTGTTTTCGTGCCGGGAACTATTTGCGCTAGCGTAGGCCTACTATTTAGCATCCTCTGACACTTCGCTCAACATAATATACTGCGTCTGACGGGGTAATTCAAAATAGTCATCTTCAGAGCACATTTGTGGGTCAATGAGAACATTTCGTGATGTTTGCATACTGCAAGTATGCTCACAGTAGGTGTATATAGGCTTTTTGTTGCGAGGTTTATCCACTTTAAATCATTGCTGGCATCGCTGTGTAGGGTCAGATGTCGCATTGGCTGTACAAGTTTATTTCGTCTGTGTTCAGAAGCACACTAAAGCCCGGCGCACATGTGAGTAATTTTACTCAAGTAAAATGACGCATGAGTCATTTTACTCACGTGTGCGGCAGATTTTCGTTGAGTAATTTAACTTGTGCGTCATTTTACTCGATATCAAACGTGTTTGATAATTTTTGACTCATTTACTAAAATGACGTCATTTTACTCAACGTGTGCGCGCGCGCTGAGTAAATTTACTCAACACTGGTACTCACAGCGCATGCGTTTAAATCATTGTGCGCCCAGTATTGGCTGTGCACAGTCACGTGATCTGCATTACCACTTGATTGCTGGATGAGACCACTGCATTCCTTGAGTAATTTTACTCACGTGTGCGGCGAACGCTGAATATATTACGCGTGAGTATTTTGACTCATGCATCATTTTATTTGAGTAAAATTACTCACGTGTGCGCCGGGCTTAAGATGTTTTTTTTTTTGTACGCAGAATGCTCGATGCCTTTCCAATATCACGCTAGTGTTTAGTGATGATGGGAGCACAGATGGCAGCACCGTGCAGGTAGAAAAGATGCAGCAGCTTTATGGATGCCAGCTCACAATAAAACTGGTCACTTCTGAAGGTAATAAAAATTCATTTCACAATTTCTCACCTCTCCGCTAATGTTGTATAAATAAACATTGTATTCACAGGCTGAGAGTATAGTATTCGCTATATCATTATCTGAACTGAGTAGATTAAACCTTGTGGGTGAACTGCAAAAGGTAGCAGTACACATTTTGCGATGCAAATTTAGTGTCTACTTTAATGATAATGTAATTTCAGTGGAAACGACAAGAAAAGCTCAACTCAAGTGCTCCTATATATGGCAGCCTGTATTCCTGCGCTAATAACCATCTAAAATGCTGTTCATTTCATCAGGAGTCTATCAATATTGATCTTATTGATACTGATCAATATTGATCTTATTGATACTGATCAATATTGATAGACTCTGGATTTAATCGAACTCTGTCTATGTTAGTTAGCTATGGCACTTGCCACTAGATGGCAGCAGGACATTACTGATAAGTTTCCAAATTACCACAGCCTGCGTAAATCGTTCCCGTAATCGTCAAATGCAAAATCCCACCCTCCATCCTCACAATGCCACCTCCCCCTCTTCCCGCAATGCAAAACACGACACGTAAATCATCGCTGTAATCTGCATTGATATATTCCGTTGCCGCGTGATATATTCTGACATGTGATATACTCTGACATGTGATATATTCTGACATGTGATGCATTATGACGTATGTGTCAGCGAGGCGCGGGCGTGGACCGGTGCTGAACGCCGGCGCGGCGGACGCCGACACGGACTGCCTCTTGTTTCTGCACTGCGACTCGCGGCTGCCGCGTCACTTCGACGATCACGCGCGCGACGCGCTCTCCGTCCCCGGCGCCGCCGCCGGCGCTTTCCTGTTTGCGACGGACTCCGTGCATGACCCCGAAGCAAGGTCAAAGGTCACGTCCTTGTTCGCGTGGAGCATGCGGGTCTTGGAGTGGGGCGCCAACGTCAGGTCCAAGTACTTCGGTGAGCGTCGACATGCATTGTTCCAATGCACTGTTCTTTCAATGTTCTACACCGTGAATTGTTCTAACGCGCTGTTCTTCCTATGTTGCTACGTAGAGATGCCGTATGGAGATCAGGGACTCTTCATGAGCAGGCGCGTGTTCGAGCGCGTCGCCGGCTTCCCTCCTGTTCCTCTCATGGAAGACGTTGCTTTAGTCTCTCGTGTCAAACGACTTGGACACATGCAGCTGGCAAGCTGCGACCCGTGCGTGTCCTCTAGTAGACGCTGGCTAACCCATGGAGTGCTGAAGGTATGTATGTACATGTGGTGGGCCTAGCATGATGCTCCAACCTACTCATATGATGTTAAAACTATGGACAGCTTCCTTATTCTCTTTTTCTCTCTCGCTGCCTATCTTCCCCCCCCCCTATCTCTCGCTCTCTTTCTTCCTCCCCACTCTCTCTGTCTCTACATGCCTTTCCTCCTCCTTTCTCCCCCTCTCTCTTTCTCTTTTGCTCTCTTTTTCTGCCTTGCTTGCTCTCTCTCTATTTTGCCACATCCATATCCCATAATCCCCTTCTGCCTATCTCTCGTGCTCTATCTCTTACTATGTTTTTCTTTCTCTCTCCCTCCGTACTTTCTCTTTCCCCCTCCTCTCTTCTCTCTCGCTCTTTATCTATCTTCCCCTAGGCCTTTTCTCCTTCATTATTCTCCCTCTCTCTATTTCTCCCTTGCTCTCTTTCCCTCTCTCTATCTCGCCGCATCCATTTCTCACATTAATAAAGATTTGCTTCTGTATTTGTAACAGGTTACACTGTTGAGTCAGTTTATCCTGGCAGCTTACATGGTGGGGGTTGATCCCAGGAGACTAGCACAGTGGTATTATGGTGACAAGGCCCTTCTTGGATGAGCAGGAAAGACAGGTGCGGCCTCAGCCCCCAAACCTGTGTGGCGGCCTCAGCCCCCAAACCTGCGTGGCTGCCTCAGCCCCCAAACCTGCGTGGCTGCCTCAGCCCCCAAACCTGCGTGGCTGCCTCAGCCCCCAAACCTGCGTGGCTGCAGAACAAGGTAATATATCTGCCGGGTTTGGCTTGGTTTTGATTTGGATTGATTTGGATTGATTTGGTTTTGATTTTGATTTGGATTGGTTTGGATTGAGAATGCATTTCTGACATACAGGCTGATGCAAAAGCTTCAGACTACTGTAGTGTCCCCTGGTGTTCAAATTTTTTATGAACGAGATTACTTGTTGTGAATTCCACTGTTGGTGTTAATGGACCAAAAATTAGCGTAGAGGTCATGTTTAACTGTGAGATGTTATCCGATGAGATATGTGTAAGCAGATGTTTCTATGTTCATTTTGTCCTGTTAAGGATAAGAATTTCACTCTGCTAAAACCGTGTTTGTGTAATGCCGCATTTACTCTGTGATTTATATCATGTTTTTGTACGTAGGAATAGAATTTCTGTGTGCACACTGCAGCCAGTTGTGTTTAAAACAATAGCTGGTGGTGTCAGTCATTTGGTGGTTTTGTAATGGCATTAGGATGAGGAAAACGTAGAAAACCCCTGAAGAGAGAAAGCGCAATCAATGCAATTTTAATTGATGTAATATATTGGGATACTACACGCAAATTGCTACATCATGGCAACCATGGTAATTCCTACCATATTATTCTAGAATAACCTTGTTGTGCAATTCCCAGGAAGCACGCAGATATATATACAGGTTAAATCAAGTGAATACTAATTATTCATGATAATGATGAAATTAATTCTCTACTACTTCTACTTTTTTTTTCACATTACTTATTTCTATTTTCTTACTTACTTACTTACTTACTTATTTTATTTTCAAATTTATTTACTTGTTACTCTGCCGATACCTGGTTTAATGAATGATGAGCTAGTCACATTACTGCATTACAGAAATATGTTATAATGTTAATAGCATGAGCCTATGTATGCTATAAGTATACATAAATTAATGGCAATAGGCAGAAGACGTTTGTATGATCATACTAGAGTAGTTTACTACATTTCAGGGAATTCCCAGAGCTGTGAAATAATACTCTATGCAAATATATTGAGTATTTACACATATAATTCGTATATGTAAATTGTCTGGACAGCTGACTAACCTTGTCACGAGTGAAATCCGGGTGAAATGTGTGTTCGTATAGATGTTAGGCTAACGCTCCATTCATCATCATCATCGTTACTCATTAGAGGCTTAACCTCACGAGTCCGGGGAATCCGATCACCCGTAGTGGTCGCGAATCCACCGTTTGAATCTCAAACGTTCTCGCATCATTCTAAGGAGTTGTCCTTTGTCCATTCCCAATACTCGCTCAATTCTCAGCCATTAATGAGGAAATAATTAGGAGTGTTCCCAACTTTGATATCATTAATGATTAATGATTGATAATCCTAACCCTAACCCTGGGATTAAAGTTGGGAACACTCCTAATGGAGTATCACCCAGATGTTACACTGTAATTTTGTTTAGTATCTTATTATTTACACAAGCCCAAAAAAACAACTGTTATTAGATTTGTTAGGGTGAGCGACAGGTTTTGATAGAATGTTTTACAATGGTTTCCTTTTTGTCACGTGTATCTTGAATAAAGAATCAAAACCAGGATGATGATAGTATTGATACACAATGGCACTTGCTTGCTTCTGCAATGGACGTTTATCCAAATAGCTTATTGTGAATCTGTGGTGAGAAGTAAAATGTGATATTATACAATACAGCAAGTAAAAGCTATTACTGAGTGTATAAGCCTGTAATATGAATAAAACAAGAGCGTATTAAGAAGGTAATTAATATACCTTCTTAATACGCTCTTGAATAAAACTCACTTCCATATTCAAATATTCACGTTTTTATCGTTCACATAATGAATATTTTTGTTTATTTGGTCGCTGAGGTTTTATTACCCTGTTGGTTTAATTGTACTTCATATGTTGGCACTTAATGTGATGATTTTACTCATACAGTAGTAACACACACGTCATTTGGCTCTGAAGATAAAAAAAACTTCCATCAACAACACGTTTCTAGGAATGAAAGTTTAATCATAATACAATCAGCATAGTGGCAGCATACTATACAGTTCGATTAAAAAAATGCTTCTTAAAGCAATAATTCATAACGTTGCTAGCACCCTAACCTAAAGGTACATGAGCTAACGAAACTCCCAACACACCACATACAACACAACACACACAAACAAGCACATATACACATACCAAACTACACTACACGCACGCACGGCGCACGCACACACGCACATACCAAGCAGTACACTACACGCACACGCACACGCACACACACACACACACACACACATATACCAAGCAGTACACTACACGCACACACACACATACCAAGCAATACACTACACTACACACACACGCACACACATACCAAGCAGTACACTACACGCATCTGCCAGGCGCACGCGACAAACAGCATTCTGTGGGCTCTCGAATGGTCCGCACATACAAGCAGTTACAGCTAAGCGCACGCGCACGCACACGCACACACACACACGCACACAGCAAGGTCACATTAACCAAGCAGTACAGCTAACGCACACACGACACATACCAGCAAGTAGACTACACTACACGTACACGCACACACACACACACACATACCAAAGCAGTACACTACACTACACCACACACAGTACCAAGCAGTACACTACAGCGCACACGCACAACGCACACGCAGCACGCACACGCACAACGCGACTACGCACACGCACACAGCCAGCACACACACACACACACACACACACAGCAGCATATACGTACAAGCAGTAGCACTATCAGCTAGCAACGCAGCAGCACACACACACATACCAAGCAGTACACTACACTACACACACACACACACACATACCAAGCAGTACACTACACGCACACACACACACATACCAAGCAGTACACTACACTACACGCACACACACACACACATACCAAGCAGTACACTACACACACACACACACACATACCAAGCAGTACACTACACGCACATTACGTTACGCACGCACCACACACTAAATCACGCAGCACACACCATCTCATTAAACCACGGCGAACGACAATGCGCGACAACAACTTGGCGAGCGATCACAACAGCGATGCCAACCTCGACTCCGAAGGTCACGACCTTGACCTCCACCACGACCTCGAGGTGAAGACGTCTCGACCCCGGCATCATCCGAGACCCCACCCGAGGCTAGCGGTTCGTCTCCGCGAGCACGGAGCGCACCTGCCATCGCAGCGACTGTCGCTTCTTTTCCGTTGGCACGACGTACGCCGTCGGCGTGCGGCGTGGTCGCCGCGGCGACGGCGGCTCGTCCTGCGTCAGCATCCGCTCGCGGACTGCCCACCGGAGGGCGCTGTGTCTGAGCGTGCCCGGCGGAGGCTGCGCGTCCCAGATCTCGCGGTACGCGTGGTATCTGTCGACGGGGTCGCACCGACGATCGAGTCTGCCTGGCTCGGCCTCACCCAGCGATGGCCGGATGAAGGAACGTCGCGCTCGCAGACACGCGTAGTCCTCCTCCTCTTCCTCTTCTACGCCTTGGGTCGATTCGGGGTAGCGTGCTGACCTGAAGCTAGGTGGCGCTGATCCACGCTGCGGACGCTGTCGCAGGTTCCACCGCGGTGGTCCGCCGTCTGGCGAGAAAAAAGAAACAATTGCGGATCGAATCGGTTGACGGTTTAGCGAGAGATGCGAAACGGCGTAAGTTTGCTGTGCATGTAGTAGCGCGAGGGAGTAAGCCGTGTTAATTAAAACGGCACGTTCTCGCAGCAATACGCATGGATATACCTACTATGAGCTCATCTATGTTGTCAAAATTCACTAGAACTTATTTGTATTGCTACTTTCATAACATTTCTTCAGCAAACCTAAACAGTGTTACGAAACTAATAATTTCAATGTTTACACAGAGTTTACACATCCGGGACATGGCCGAGCGATCGCAGTTTTCATTAACAGTTCTTTTCTACGATAGAACAAGTTATTATTCATTATTCGATGTTTGTTCAGTACAAAATTGTGAAATTTATTAAATCATATCGTTATCTACATTACTTATGCAATCAGCAAACTAATATAGTGGTTTCTTTCCAGGAACTATTTGCGCTAGCATAGGCCTACTGTTAGCATTCTCAGTCCCATCGCTCTATGTATATCTGTATGCTGAAAATACAGCATGAAAATAGTCAACTTTGGAGCACATTTCTAGCTCAATAAGAACATTTCGTGATGTTTGCATACAGCAAGTATGCTCACAGTAGGTGTATGTAGGATTTTTATTTCGAGGTTTATCCATTTTAACTATCCACCACTCTCTATCTTAATCTTCATTTCTCTCCCTTGCCTGCTAACTGTTTCTCTCTCCCTTCCCTCCCTCTCTCTGTCTATCTGTCTGTCTGTCTCTCTCTCTCTCCCCCTTTCTCTGTCTCTCTCTCTCTCTCTCTCTCTCTCTCTCTCTCTCTCTCTCTTTCTCTTTCTC